ATATTTCAATAAAATAAATCTCGAATTAAAATGTATTTCCAATGGATGGATAAAAGATAAATAATGGGAGGGTAAATATTATTTACCGTTAAAATAGATATTGTTGCAATAAATCCCGTGAAGTGATAATTTTATGGATAAAAGATGTTGGTACCTATTCTACTCCTACTTTAAACAGTTGTGTAACATTTCTTGGATTAGGGTGTACTTAAAAGCGGAATCAAATCCATTGATGGATTAGGGAATACTCTGATGCGGAAACAAGTCCATCGATGGACTAAAGTGTACCCAGAAGAGGAATCTAATCCATTAATGGATTTGACCAATGGATTACAGTGGAATAGGGGGAAAAAAGTTGCCACCCCCCCTCTAACTTCTAAAATAAGAAAATGAAAAATCTTAAAAAAAGCATATGATGTACATTAATATAAAAACTACCAACGAAAATTATTTTGAACGAGATCTAGTAAGTAGTTTTTTTTAATACCTCGTAAATCGTAAACCGCTTATTACCGCGTAATCTTTCATACAAATAACTTAAATTAAAAAATAATAATTTTAATTTCTTAAATCAATGTTACGGAACCCTTTGTGCGTGAGTCCGACACGCACTTGGCCGGTTTTTTTTGTTACTTTAATGAAAGGACTACGTAATTTTCTTTCAATGGGAACCCGTTTTCAGGAATTAAATGAAAGTAGCGTAAGTGATATTATTATGTTTGGAATGGACCGGAGTTGTATGGTTTTCTTTGTAATTCGTGGATTTATTTCAGGGTATTAAACAAGGAACATGTTATTAATTATTTAAACAACCTAACATCGTTTTTTGCGAAAATTCTGTAGTAGAGAGAAAGAATATCTTTATGTAGCTCACATTATACATAAAAACACATAACGTACAGAAAAAAAAAACCAAAAAGGTCCTTGCCTCAGTATTAGTCGTAGTGACTATGTAAATATGCTACGACACTTTATATCTTAAATATTATTATGATAATTATACGTCATAGAGGCGAATCTAAGTGACTGAAAATCAGTGGTATGTGACTTTGTAAAATGTTAAAAATAAGTTGTAATTAGTTAACTATTAAAACTAACATCCTCGATTTGGTAGGTGTTTATGCGTAATGTCAAATGTAACAATGACAAATAAGATTTTTTTCTAAATACAACTCAGATAAAAGATTTCAAAAACAAACTAGGAATCGTGATACTCCCATTATCATGAATGAACATCTTTAAATATACCTTGACACGGCCATTAATTTACTTTTGTAACTAGGACAATACAATATGCTCCATTGTACGAATAAGGACCCTGAAGTTTATCTTGCAGAAAAACGGTTAAAACCAAACTTGGTATTGCTCAAATTGCAAATAGGTACCTATGTAGTGTGGTTAACCCCCGTACTAAGCTAAATAGGCTAGTGTTACGAGTGAGTTAACCACAATAGTCGAGCGGTCACAAGACGTCCACTGCTGAACATAGGCCTCCCCCAATGACTTCCACATCGCCCGGTTGGTAGCAGCCTGCATCCAGCCCCTTCCTGCTACCTTTATGTAAGTAAGTAAGTAAGTTCTTTATTGTGTATAGAAACAAGGTTACAGAAAGATCTTAAATTAATTACAGAGTATCACTTGATCGTACCCTTTCAGGCGTATACACATTTTTAATTTTTATATCTAAACATATTTATTTATAATCTAGGTATTCTTGTACACTATAAAAACATTTTTTAATTAACCATTCTTTAATAACATTTCTAAATTTTGAGAATTTTAGTTCTTTAAAATCGTCTGGTAGTGTATTATATATTTTTATACACATAATAAAAGCATTCCTTGATGCTAGTGTTAATTTTGTCTGAGGCCTTACTAGTTTATTTCTGTATACAGAACGTAGGTTTCGATTTGAAATTTGAAATTTCTGAACAAGTCTTGATTTTGTTGGATAAATAAACAACAGTCAAAAATGTAAAGGCAAGGTAAAGTTAACAGATTATATTTTCTAAAAAAGGGACGACAGGAGTCTATTTGTTGTAGTCCAAAAATAGCTCGAATACATTTCTTTTGCATAATAAATGCCTTATCCCTATGTACAGAGCCATTGTAAGCAGTGATAGCAGCCTCTTGTGATACAATTTGACTAATACGTCTAAGAGCGAAAACAAACCTATTCAGCTTAGAACAGATTTCAAATATATGTTGCTTCCAATCACAATGACTGTCCAAAGTTATTCCTAAAAATTTTGTATGTTGAACAGCGTTAATTACCGGTACCTTAAAATTTATGTTAAGTTTCGGTTGTATTTTTTTATGTGTACCAAATTGTATGTATTTTGTTTTATCTATGTTTACTTTTAAATTGTTTCTATTAAGCCACTCAATAACCTTACATAATGCCATGTTTATATCACTTTCATGACATAAATAATTTTTATCTTTATCACCTTTGATAACATCTGCAAACAAGATACATTCATGTGGTATACTTCTGGGTAGATCATTAATATACAGAAGGAACAAAAGCGGTCCCAAGATACTACCCTGAGGCACTCCAAATTTATTAACTTCACATGATGATACATAGTTCTCTAAACATCTACTTTTAGGACAATACTTCTGAGTTATCACACATTGTTCTCTCTGTGACAAATAGCTTTCGATCCATGTGTAGCATGGTCCGCGAATACCATATTTATAAAGTTTCGAAAGAAGTACTTTGTGGCATACAAAATCGAAAGCTATGCATATGAGGTCGTCGGTTCACCTTGTGGGCTCCCACGTTGCGTTTTCCGGCACGTTTCCACTCCAGAATCTTGTCCACATTATATTTGGCTAAAGACAAACATGACAAACGAAGTAAACTCGCTGACATAGCCCGACCGATTATTAGCAAGCTGAAGTGGCATAGTGAGCAGAACTGACGGCCGATGGGGCAGAAGGTTCTGGAGTGGAGGCGAAAACGTAGCGTGGGACGTCCACCCACAAGGTGGAATTTATAAAGGTAACAAGAAGGAGCTGGTCGCAGGCTGCTGACCAACCGGTCAACATGGGGATCATTGGGGGAGGCCTATGTTCAGCAGTGGACGTGCTATGGCTGAAATGATGAAAGGCAAACAAACTGTATGTACTTTTCTCGTCCGTGCCCCACGTAATTTATTCCTGTATTTCCCGTCGCCGCTCGAGCTGCCGTAATTAACTTGTAACTTTTTGTAGGCTTGTTCACAAACTTTGACAGGCTGACCGACGTGTGGGAAACAAAACTTGTTAGTACTAATTACTTAATTGTAGACCACGGATTTTTAACTTTTAAATAGCGCGAAGACTTGAAAACTAGACTGAAAAATATGGGACAATATTATTTGATCCTCTAAAAACTAATTGATCTTTTTTGTATGTGCACTTTTAAAAATAAATGATGTTTTTTATTATATCTTATCTTTATATTAATTATTGGGTCTATATTAGTTGATCTACGGATAAATTATGAATGATCTTCATTAAAGGTAACATAATATTTATGTTTAGTATACTCTTTTAATATTTGGTAAACAAAAATAATATTTGATCCTCTTTTTTAGTTATTGATCTTTAATTTTGTTAATTTGATGATTTTTATATCAAGTTTGCCTTTTATTATTGATCACCTAATAAATACATTTCGATCTATGTATAACTTAACTTTAAAATATATTTGATCTAACAAAAAATATTATTGGTTAATATTTTTAATTAAAAAATATCTTTTAATTTACGCGGTACTTTGTGGTTGAGTAACAATCATCCGTCATTGGTTACTGAGTTGGCCAAGGGCTTAGCGGCCAATAAGCAAGCAGAATAGTACATTGCCCTGTTTGTTTAAATTACAAGCTTTGCTTAGTTTGGGACTAGAGGCGCTATGTAAAATAATTTCTTACTTCTGACATCCCTGAACCCGACATCATAATTTTTACCTCTTTATTTTTTTCAAATCGCAAGGTTGATTTTCTCTTAGTATAGGTACCGATCTCGACCGTGATCAGTGACCATAAAGTCATCTGTCAACGGGTCGATTAGACACGATAAAAGCACTAAAGGATATTTGTTTACTTTTAGTGCGACATCGGGTCGTAAGGACCTGATAAGTTTTTTTTTTCCAAATATTTAAACAATTGCAAAACAATATTTATTTATCTTTCGTACTACTGAAAAGACCGAATATTATATCCATCCCGCACCAACGCATCCAGCACCTAAGGTCAATTCGACCCGATAACGCAGTGTGAACGTGTTAAGTATGCTTTTTTAATAAAAAAAAATCTTTGAACATCAAGTGCCTTTAAATAGTTTCCATCCTTTGACTACAACTTAATAAAAATAAGTACCATAACATAATTGTTTTGAAGATTATTTGATATAGACAAAAAATAATTTATACAAATCGAATTATTTAAAAAAGTATCACAATATTGAATATTTGGTGCTCATTTCTTTTATTTTTGAGGACCAACAAGTAACGATCAGATATAATTTTTACATCTCAATTTTTTTTTGCGTAGTTCAAAAGAGGTTAAAATATCGATCGATTTTATTTATTTTATGTCTCAAAGAAAGAGGATCAATCATTAAAATAGACGACCAAATAGATTTTTTTATTTGCCGTTTTTGCTAATTTAAAAAGATCATTTAAATACATGCCGAAAAATATTGCATCCAAATGCCTACGTACGCTTAAATAAAACATGTTAAACATTTCAAAATACCTAAGCACAAATTTTACGAAAACGAGTATAACTACAATTAAAATACTCGTAGTTAGTCTGTCACTATGTATTTAAATGATGCATACTGATTATTGTGGCAGTTTTTAATTATTAACACCATGTTAAATATAAAAAATCTTTGGACAAATCTTTATAAACATTTGAGACGAAATCATGAATGGATGGATGGCGGTGGACGATGAGTTTTTAAATAAATAAATGTTCTTTTACTAATTCAATATACATATTTTCCAGAACATCCAAACCAGTACAACGGAAGATGAGATCCTGAAGGGAATGGCACCATGGATCGCCACCATCTTCCTCAAGAACGAGACAGGCAGCCAGTTCGATTACTACTGCGACGGAGCCCTGGTCTCGGATAGAGCTGTTCTGACTGGTAAGAGCGCTTTATTATATTCAATAATGCCTTTGTTCGTTCGTTCGCTTCAGCCGAATGACGTCCACAGCTGGACAAAGGCCTCCCCCAAGGGTTTTCACTGCGACCGGTCCTGCTCCTGGTTCTCGAGTGGTGACCATGGGCCGGAAGACGTAGTGTGGGAGGACTAGGTGGACCGACGATCTGGTAAAGATAGCGGGAAGTTCCTGGATGAGGGAAATAATGTCTTAACAGCATTAAATCCAAAGGTTTCCACGGATTTCTACAACCGCCTACAGGTGCTTCCCGCGACCTTCACCAGATCCTCAGTGCACCGAGAGGAGCTTGCTTACACTAAGTTTACCAGTAAATGTATTTGTAGAAAGATGGATGGTTCTGTACCCAAAGAGCGCTGGCATCATGAATTTAGAAATTTGTCTGGCATCATGAATCGCCTTATAGAAATATGTAGATTTTATTTTAAACTTCACCGCATTATTTCATAATTAGAATTTCAATCAAATGCCCATATACGCTAAATAATAGGTTTTATACACCTGTGAAAACTAATTACCCAAAAACTTCTACCTTTCTCTACCAAACTTCTCAAAGCAACGGATTCGCCGAAAGTTTTTTAATAATCCCAGTTATGAATAACCGGCAATTGCTCCCATCCTTCACACACGCCGACTTATCAAGGAGTTTGCAAAGAAGAACCTTCAACCTCATGCTTTGTTAGTGTAATATGGAGAATATTGCAAAGAAAATCTCTATTTAGTTACTTCGCCTTGTGGCTATACTGGGAAAGCATTGTTAGAAAAGAAAAGGCAAAAAAAGCTGAAAGACTGTGCAGATATAACAAGGAGCTTAAAATATCAAGCTAAAGGTAAAAAAGGTAGTCTTTGATATCTTAAAGTCAGTTAATTACAACTCGGTTCAATCATTGATGACAGACAGCGTTCAATAGAGCTCTATGATTGATTTATGTGCCTTGTGCGTCCACGCGCACTGTGAGACCTCATAGTAATGTTTGTGAATTATGGGCGTTAAACTATAACCTACAAATTGCATTAAACCAGAGATTGTTTCGTTCACGTTACGAAAGTAAATCATAGTCAACTATGTAGTTTAATTATAGGAGTCGATAATTAAGTTTCCTTCCTACCTTGGGGCAAAAAGAGCAAATAACGGATCCAACAAGTTGGCTATAGTTAGAGCGGAAAACGGGCTAGCGCATTGGTTCCCAAACTTATTTGAGACGCGCCCCATTTCGACCATAAAAAAATTCCTTCAGTCAAGATTATTTATTGGTCGTATCGAGCAGTCTAAAGCCTGGTCCGTGAGCACGTAGAATCCCGTCCAATGACCCCAAGCTACCCATCCTTATCGCTCGCGCGTAATTATGTTGCTGTCGCGCTCGCACACTCACTGCGGGCGCCCGTCGCCCAGTCGCGACAGCAATATAATTACGCGCGAGCGATAAGGATGGGTAGCTTGGGGTCATTGGACGGGATTCTACGTGCTCACGGACCAGGCTTTAGAATGCATTCTCTCAGTGGTCGCAGGTTTCTCACAGATGGCCCACGCCCCCCTTTAAAGGTCTTGGGGGGCGCACCCCCACTTTGGGAACCAATGGTCTAATACCTCAGTCAGTGCCTGAGGTATGTGAGCGGCACGGGAGGGTGTTTTTGTGACGTCAAACGTTCGCGAGACTTCTTCTTCTTCTTCTTTTTTGATGAAGTTGGCAATACACGTCGAGGTCGACTTGATTTGTGCCATTTTCAAGTATTTAAATGATACGAGTTAGAAAGTGAGATCAAGTAATTATATAAGAAGGATGATAGATGATACCCCCTCCCACCCTTTAAGTCTCAGTAAAGTTGTGGTGCTTTACTGAGACCTCCTAGGCTCCTATGGACAATTTGAGAGAACCCGAAGAATCACGATGCACTGTTTTGCTTCACTTGCCCACACGCTCATGCACGTTCACGAACACTCAATGGTTAATAATCCACCATTATTACACATTAATAGTCGCCTAAACACGAATTTGAGGAAATAAAACAAAACCGCTAACATGACGCTTCAGATTCCCGCCAAGAAGTCCGTCAGCGAGACTTCAATTGTGCTTCAGTTTTGTATACTCTGTCACGTCGTAATATTATTATGTCAATGTTTTTTTTATCCACAACGAGGAAGCTCTTGGCCTGTATCTCACCTGATGGTATGTCACCTCTCCCATACCTCAGGTACTGTCTGAGATAAGCGCTAGATCTATAGCCTATAGCTGAGAGAAAGGGCAAGCGAATGCTGTAGGAAACCATTATAAATTTAAGGCTTTGATTGGGGGCATAAGGTTCACGGTAGATCAACGGGACAACGGATCTATTCCCACCTCTCGTTCCTACCACTGCAACTCCTGTGTAGCCAGGATCTACAGCTTGACCGCCACAAAAACCCAACCAATGAAGGTCAAGTTTGTCCCCGGTGTTCACGGAGATCTTCAATGGGGAAATTTTAGTTCACCTACTTAAGTGACACCCCACCGGTTGGGTTTTATACACGGCCTAGCTGTAGATCCTGGCTGCACAGGAGTTGCAGCTGTGGAAACGAGAGGTGAAAATTGTCTAGTAAAGTGACCACCAATTGTTTTTGATTGATTGGGGGAGTTCTATGTTTAGCAGTGGACGTCCTATGGCTGAAATGTGTATATGGCATATGCTGAGTGGGGTCCCATTGCGATGGACATCGCTGTGCGACAGGGTGGCACTGCTTAGTTTACTTTCTCTTCCATTGTATGTTTTATGTCACCTCTGTCTTATTTGTTTTTTTTATTTACATCTTTTGTCTTTTGTGATGTCCATGGCAATAAATGTTTCTTTCTTTCTTTCTAAATGATGATAATGATATGTATTTACTGCATGCATCAGAAAGTTTCCTTGGTTGTCAATTTGTCCCGGCTAATCTTCGAAACGTCTGGACTTATTCGGATTTTCACTCTCGAGTTAATTGTTTTAGGAAGTAACTATAAGGGATTTATAAATATTGTATGAAACAGTCTTAACCTCTAGACTTGTCCAATTATCCGAAACTTGGAAATTTCTCGAAATAATTAAGCACTACGATCAGAACTAAGTGTCCAGTAATGAAATTCATTAACGGCAAGTTCGGATGAACCTGCTGTCTAATGAAAGCCGAGCGTTTGAGTTTAATTAACTTTTTGTCATTAAGAACTTGGCGAGTGGGGACAAGTTTCCATCAGTCTTCAGGGTCTTGGAAGTCGTGGGGGTTCCATTTTAGTTATTGTAACTACGTCAGCCATATTGGAGAAGTAGGAAGTGGTCGCTATGGTTTGACAAAAAGTTACATGGCAGTCATGAAACTTAAACATAATAAGATACGTGGAGGTCCAAGCGAGAGGCCAAGGTCTGCATTTCTACTCAAAAATCAAGATTTTTCCTTTCTAGATATGAACCTGGAATAAAGAGCAATAAAATAATTTTATCCGATTAATAAATAGTCTAAGAGTAGGCGCACACCGTTGATTTTTAGTTGGCCGATAGTTGTGCCCGATTTTAATTTGTATGAAGAATCGGCCAAATCGAATCGGCGTAGTATGCGCACTCCCATACATGGCCATACTGATCAACTGGACGACTAAACTATCGGCCGACGAAAAATCAACGGTGTGCGCCTACTCTAAGGCTGAGTTGCACCATCTTACTTTAACTTTGACAAACGTCAAAAATCTGTCATAATCCATACAAAAAACACCGGTTATCGTTAAAGTTACGGTCAAAGTTAGGTGGTGCAACTCAGCCTAACACTTGGCTTAACCCTAAATTAAGTTGGTACAGCTTGTAGTATACGAATGAACATATTATTATGTATAGAATATAACCTCGGATAAAAATAGGATTCGAATCAACAACCGTAGAGTTGTTATCAATCTTGTACGGCAAGCACCAAGCCGGCGGCAAAAAAAAAGTTCATGAATCGGTAAAGCTCTTAAAAGTAATAATTCCGCTTTTAAGATAAATCGGGTCTAATTGAGAGATGTTTTTATCTTTCATGAAAAATCGTCATTAAATTTCTTCCTTTGATTAAAAAAGGGACGATTAAGACGACCAATTAAGAACTGTTGAAACATTTATTTTAACTGTGATAGATGGAGGAGCTTCGTATAATTGTCTATGATTGCTTTATTGGACAACTAACAGTTTTAATTCTGACATTTCCAGCTTAATATTTTTGGAATCCGATCCAGACTTTAATTTGTAGAGAAATGACCTACCTAAACATTTATAAATCTTGCCCTCAATAGGAATCGACCCTTAAAAGCTGAAATCCACGTTGATACCCAGCTGGATTGTATTCCGGTTGCAAACTAAGAGGCGGCCATCGAATACATTATTATTGACAAAAAAATTCTGACCAAATAAGGGTAACCGCTACTAACCGGTTAATCTGGAAATCATTGGGGACGGTGATGATGATGATGATGATGATGACGATGACGATGACGATGATGATGATTGTTTCAGCGGCGAGGTGCGTCAGCAATGCAACCGGCAGCTACTCTCCAGAGAGCTTCATAGTAATATTGGGAAAGACATCCCTACGGATATCTGGAAGCCAGGAGAAAATATTACGAGTAAGTTCTAATAAATTCGTACAACCCAAAGGTCTTCAAAGGTTGTATTGCATTTTTTTTGTAACGGTATATTATTTGTCCGTATTGGTCCTTATTTATTTATTTTATTGTTACCCTATTGGGTTTCATGTGTTTTGGTTAAATCGATCGATAGCAACTTTTTGTATAAAACGGCTTTTTCGCTCTCACCATTGATTCCCTACAAAGTTGTTCATAATAATCATAAGTTTAATTCCCCCCTAACTATAGTACAACTGCTATGAAGGTGACCTTGTATAAGAAAGCTTGTCTTAGGAAAAAGTAGTATTATGAACAGTAAAGTTTATTGTATTATTTAGGTTTTAGTGAAAAATCTTACTTACGATTACTTTATTTTATAAACAGGTACAAGATGTGAAGACCCACGTATACTTCACAATCGCAAGCAGTGTGGCTCAAAATGATCTGGCTGTATTAACATTGGAAGAGCCTGTTTTATTCAATGAAGGCATATCTAAAGCCAACTTGGAGAATATGGAAATAAACGAGGAAGATGGAGAATCGAGTGTTTCTGTGGTAAAATTTGCATACTTATTTATCACTTTGCATACTTTTTAAAAATAGGCTGGATTGCACCTTTAACAGTAACTTTAATAATAACCGGTGATTTTTGTATAGTGTTTGACAGTTTTTTGACGTTTGTTAAAGTCAAAGTAAGATGGTGCAACTCAGCCTTAGAGACATATTTTTTATTGCTTAATTAAAGCTAATAGCTTGTTAATGTGTGAATATGTGTGCCTATGCTATTGCTGAAAAGGTTACAGACTGACTCCCTTTCCTCTAATTCAGAACGCCTAACGAAAACGAATAGCAGAAATACTCCGCGACACATTTCACCAGCAAGTAATGTTTGCTATGTCGGTTTCATTAGGCGCTCACAAAGAAGCATTTTTGTTTTAGACCACCGCGTGGGGCCTTTCCGGTGACATCGCTCTCATATATTTCGATAAAGAGAAAAGTAAAGCTTGCGACTCGAATAATAAAGTGGAAAATACTTTTTGTGCCACTTACGGAGATGGTGAGGACATTTTGTTTTTTAGGGATAATGGCGGTGTGTATAATAATGTATATCTGTTTGTGGTTTATTGCGGCGACTTCCAGGGCGTGTGGGCACTGTTTATTTTCTGTTGAGCCGATTGTCGCTAAAAGGACGTGCGTGACTTCTCTACCAAGCTTATTTTTCCCATTTTGCGACATAATTAAACAAAACAACTTAATGCCTATTTTCTTTGCTAACTTTTGTGTTGTTTACGCGCCACGTCAGACATTTTTGACGTGTTAATTATGAAGTTTAAGGCTCAGTTGCACCAACGTACTTTCACCGTAACTTTAACAATAACCGGTGTGTTTTGTATGGAGTTTGACAGATTTTTGACGTTTGTCAAAGTTAAAGTAAGATGGTGCAACTCAGCCTTTCTGTTACTTTTATTATACTTTTCTTGTAGCTATCGCAAAAGCCGAAAATACACTTTTTACTTACTAACTCCACTGAGAAGTCATTATAGAGAGAATCACTGCTACTCCCTGGGTTGTAATACTTATAAGATTAACAGACTTATGCCCGTTTTGACCACCAATCCCTAATTTTTAAGTGACCCTATTTAAACAAAATTCCTGTTATGTGTTACCAATGGTAACTTACCATAGGAGTCACTTACAAATTAGGGATTGATGGTGAAAACGGGCATTGTAAATTTTGTTGCAATATATTACCTATTACCATTACAAAAGACACTGATTAGCTTGATAAGCCGTTTTCCATACTAAAGAAGATACAATTTTACAGATGTGGCACTTTGCCCAAGCTACGGAGGCTTATACGTGACCAAGCAAGCAAACAAATTGTACCTAGCAGGGATTCGAACTGGCGACCCGACGGATCGAGGCATTTGCTTCATCAAGAACGTCAACTACACGTCATTGAAGAACAACACGCAATGGGTTTCTGAGAATATTGATGTTTAAGATTTTGTTAAGATAGAGTTTAGTTAGTTTTAAGGTAAAATAAATGATTTTAAATCGTGTAAAAATTATTAATATAAATTAACGTCTGTGAAAATAACTTTTTAGTTTGCCTGTCTGATAATATAATGGCTTAACATTTTTTGATAAATTTTGGTATAGAGATAAATCAACCTTCTTTAGAGGCCATAAAATAATACTTCTTGTCTTTATTGTGTCCGAATATGACCTGGGAGAAGGTCATGTAGAGTACCAACATCTTTCTATTACTTCTCATACAGAAAAAAAAAGATAAATTGAGGAAAAAGAAATTCTACAATACTGAAATAGATTATCAGAAAACCAATAACACCCTCTCAAAATTACCCCTAGCACTTCGTTAGGTACTTTGAAGAGCTTTTCAACAAAATATTCAACAAGTTCAAAGCTAAAACTTTCAGCTGAAACTTTAGTGTTTGATTCTCAGGAAATAGAAAGGCAAAAGTCAAAATTGAATCGCCAACTAGAGCTTATTTAAAATTTTCTCCAGAGACCGGATCCAGTTCAGAATAGAATGAACAAATACAATTTCCATACAAAAGTAGCTCTGTTTTAAGTTGGAACTTGCACCGGAAGCTTTGTGAGAGAGAAGGCAAGTGTTTGTGACGTCATTTCTGTTTTTGTAGCACTCGTTCATTGCTTTAGTAGTGAATCGATATAATATTGTCCTGAAGTGGTGGTAGGGCAAGCTACCACCACCACCACCACGTCGGGACAGAATATTTGAATGTGTAAGTGCTCTGAAAAGGCCTTCATCATCATCATTTCAGCCACAGAACTCCACTGCTGAACATAGCGCGTAGGTCTCCCCCAATGATATCCATGTTGACCGGTTGGCAACTCTGAAAAGGGCTTAATATTTGTAAATATTTTGAATATAGTGAGGTTTTCGTTTCATTATACACCTGTAGGTATACCTAAGCTTAGGCCACGGTAATACTATCTATACAGTATTCCAACTCGGCCATATTTTTGAAATAAATGTCAACAGTCGCGCGGTACGTCACGCTATGACAACATGCGATAGGGGTGCCCCCCTACAGTACCCAGTTTAATTACATCTGCCTACTTACAATTTCTATCCAGTTTTGTGATTGTACTTTTTTATTTAGTTAGACAAACAAAATACTTTGTGAATGGAATAGGTTAAAAATGTGTGTTGTTTTGTGATTAGTAGATTTATATTATTTAAAACTACGTAAATAATTTTGAAACTTTAATAATCATAATGATCTGTTACGTTAATTTCGGGCGAGCGAAGTCGTGGGCAAAAGCTGGTTTAATACAATATAATTTTCATTTCAAATCAAACTGACTGAAAATGACAAATTGACTAGTTTTTGAACAATTTGACCGTAAATGACGGTCACTCAAATTCAATCAGTTTTGTCATTTTTAACACTTGGCCACCGACGTCCATTCGGCACATTCGCGACACCCCCGACTTTTGCATACCGAGCGCATACCGAGATTTGAATTTCGAAAGAAAGTTCTCGTTTCGTCTGTTTATATGAAGTTACAATACTGTATGATGTAGCGCGCCTAATAACGCCAGCTATCGCCAATCCAGGTAGTCTGGCCGATTCGCCTCGTTCCCGCCGCGCTCACTCTCGTTCGCGCCATATGCGACAACCAACCAACGAACACCACTCCAGTTCGCGCCCTAAGCGTCGGCCAATCAAACGGCCCAAAAGATACCACGACTAGGGGCTGCGGTGTTTCTATTGTTTTTATTGCTTTGTATTGTATTAGTTTGTATTGTTTTTGCCTTACTGCGTCTTCGCAGTAACAAGCCAGTTGATTGTGAGCTTCGAAGCGAAATACACACTTGCCAACATACTCCTGCGTCGTGTTCTTCATTTTAAAAAGAACCCAAACCCTGAGAAGAGCCCAACACTGAAGAGTCTCACGCTAAATTGGCGCCCAACGTGGGGCACTTTGAAGAACGCTGCCACGCTAAATTGGCAGCCCAACGTGAGTCAAGTTGAAGAACGCTGCCACGCACAAACTGGCAGCTCAACGACGAGCAAGTTAAAAGAACACGACCTCCGTGGTATTTATAAAATTTTAAGAAAATGCCACGCCCTGTGACACGCCGCAACACAAATCGCCGCCAGACCGACTTTTTCGACGTGGAAGACGATGGACGCGACAACAACGTTGCAAGAACGCCGACGCCAACGCCAGCGCCGACGCCCATCACCGTGGACGATCTCACCGCCATGATGGTGTCCCTGCAACAGTCGCAAGCAGAAAACTTTGAGCGCCTGCTATCAAGAGTGCTCGAGTGCCGCTCGCCATCTTCACATCCCGCGCCGGCTCACGCCGCGCAGTGCTCTTCCACGCCGCCGCCCGCTCAACTTGCATCTGGAACGTTCGCCACGTGCAAATCGACCTACAGCGGAGCGCCCACCGAGTCCCTCGACGGTTTTATCGATGCTTTGGAGTCATTTAAAGATTGCGCAAATATCAGTGATGCTAACGCCTTACGTGGTTTGTCGATACTTCTCACACACGACGCAGCCACGTGGTGGCAGGGAGTTAAGTCCACGATCACCTCGTGGAGCAAAGCCCTGCAGCATCTCCGCAGCGCCTTCGGCGACAGTAGACCTCCACACAGGATTTACAGAGACTTGTTCTCGAAGCCGCAACAACTCCGGGAGAGAACTGAGCTTTATGTAGCCAAAGCACGCGCTCAGCTAGCACGCCTCCCGAAAGAAGACCTCAGCGCAAAGGTGCAACTCGACATGATTTACGGCCTTCTCCATGTGCGAGTTCGGGAACGTTTACGAAGAGAAGAAGTGGAAACATTCGAAACGCTGCTACGAAAAGCACGCGAAATAGAAGAGGTTGCTGAGGAAAACACATGTGACGCTGCGCCCGCGAGTGCCTACAATCAGCGAAAACGCGCGCCTCCACTCGCGTCTCCGCGCACGTGCATCGATGCCTCAGCCCGTTCACCGTCACCCACGCACACGAATTCGTCCACGACCGCAGCCAGCNGAGGAGTCGTACGGGCCAACTGTGCAAAGTGTAGTACGCAGTTCAACGCCATATCGTGTGAATATCATAAGGCGTCGCCAACCTCCCTCTCCAATCGTGAGTCGCCCGTACAGGTAAGTAAAACTACTGATTGTTTTGGGGCCGAAAACGTCAAATTACGTTCCTCACATAATCCTAGATCTCTTCCTAATAACAAATTTCACCTCGCTGAGCGTAATAATCGTAGAAAATACCATGCTATCATGCCTAAAGATAATAATTGTAAAAATAATTTAACGTCAGTTGAAGACACTGATTTTTATTTGTCTGAGTTTTTTCCCATACTTCCCGTAGACTTTACGACCTCTATTATTTTGAACAATGATGGTTCACGTGTAGCGTCCCCAGATGGTGTTACTAACAACCCGGCTGTGCTATCCGTAGATAATAAAATTCCTTTGTATGATTCCGATCGTCGTCAAACAAAGCGGTCAAACCCATCCAAAAGTACCACGAAGCCTTTTAACAAGCGTATGGGGTTCAGTGGGAGTAGTAGGGTGACCATAAGCTCTAATTGCGATCGCGGATTTTCTTCAGATGTCGACGAAGTGACGTACGAGCTTGATATTTTAGAACTTTTTTCTACGTCTTCGCATACTCGTCACACATCTGCGTCACAACCACGGCCTCTTTTAAGTGTTAGAATATTAGACCTGCAAGGGACAGCGCTAATAGATACAGGTGCTAAAAGGAGCGTTGTAGGAAGTTCTTTATATAAACTGCTTCAAGAGCGTCGACACCCGACTATCGAGATGACCATGCGAGTCAAACTCGCTGATGGCTCAGCGCAGTGGCGCCAAGTTTTAACCACTACGCTGCAAGTAGATGTCGGTCGAAATAAAAGTGTTAAACTAGATTTTATGTAGCGCGCCTAATAACGCCAGCTATCGCCAATCCAGGTAGTCTGGCCGATTCGCCTCGTTCCCGCCGCGCTCACTCTCGTTCGCGCCATATGCGACAACCAACCAACGAACACCACTCCAGTTCGCGCCCTAAGCGTCGGCCAATCAAACGGCCCAAAAGATACCACGACTAGGGGCTGCGGTGTTTCTATTGTTTTTATTGCTTTGTATTGTATTAGTTTGTATTGTTTTTGCCTTACTGCGTCTTCGCAGTAACAAGCCAGTTGATTGTGAGCTTCGAAGCGAAATACACACTTGCCAACATACTCCTGCGTCGTGTTCTTCATTTTAAAAAGAACCCAAACCCTGAGAAGAGCCCAACACTGAAGAGTCTCACGCTAAAATGATATTATTACCGTGCTTAGGCTCTAATCGCTTCACAAAACACCCGAAATCGAATCAACACCTCTGAATTCTGTCACAATATTGATTTGATAGAGTAGCTGATGGAACATTGTTTTATGCATTAATCTACAATAATAGAGAGTTTGACACCATACCCCAATAATTCGAAACCACAACTTTTTTAAAGAGATCCTTCATTCTGGCATTACAAACTTAATTAATTTTAAATTACCTGTAAATAACGATTTTTTTTCGCATTGTAATTGAAAAAAATAGTTTAATTGAGTTGACAAAATAGTGACGTCACTTGCTTGTAGTGCCATGCAAAATCTATGGAAGAGTTTCGTTTTGACAGTTTTGAAAAGTACGTCAATTGATTGGTGGTGCTAAAATGTCTATTAAAAACGATTTTTAAATTGGTACGATATTTTGAATACACCAAAATTACACTAAACTTAAATTACACAACATTGAATGAAATTCAATATCAATCCATTGTATTATCTTGCCCGCCTGCAATCAGTGCTTAGACAGTAATTATGTTGATAATGGCTGGACAGCATCGGATGTAGCCGGATAATTAGACCGGCTGGTAATCATGATCGGATCTAGGCCGATCATCCAGTAGCAGGGCGAAGCGTGGCGGCTAGCGGTTGCTAAACTTAGAATGTCGGCGTTGGATTTTATTGCAAAAAAATGCGGTACAAAAGGCCGTGTGGCATTCTCTACCAGTTAACCTTCAGGCCAAAAAACTTAAGTAACTTAATTTATTTATTACATTTATTTTTATCACTTTTACATTTTTGGTTTAGTAGTGTCTTAAATTAATTTGACATTCCAATAAAATACCTGTTATACACAGAACAGAAATAATTACAAAATAAATGCATTTAGAATATCATTTGATACGAAAAATAACAGGTACAAGATTGACTCTTTCGTTCATTCATTCGTTCCTTTTTCAATTTTTCCGCGAAAAAAAAGAATGTCAAACGGGCAAGCATTTTGTCGATTTCACATTTTCATTTTTCTCTCGCGGACTAATGTGAAATGCTTCATCTTTATTAAAAATCAAAATCGTTTACAAAAAACACGGACAAAATGCGGGTTGGTTAAGAAAATTCATTGCGTCCGAGCAGACGACGCATCCCTTCAGTCTGCGCGCGACTATGACTCGTGCAACCGAGTCGAAACGCGTCGGGAAGGTAAATAGGTACCTTTTTAAAAATGTTGGTGTTGCAAAATTCGGTAGTAGTGAGACTTTAGTATTAATGCAACATGAAATATTAAAATCAAAATCAACCTGCAGCAGACAATTTAGTGGTGATAATAATATGTAGTGTTTGTGGCATAGTGTATTGTGAAACCTTAAGTTGTTCGTGCTTGGTTGGAATTTTCACCGCGGCAAGGGATTCGAGGAGATCCAAATGGTAAGTAGAATAAAAATTTTATACTATTTACTAGCGGCCGCCCGCGACTTCGTACGCGTGGATCCTGTTTTACCCCCTTTTCCCGAATTTTTTTTGCTATAAACCTCACGGAGCCCGAGACCTTTCCAACGAATGCAAAACCGTGGAAATCGGTTCGTGCGTTCTGGAGTTATAGCGTCAGGGAGGAAAACCCGACTTATTTTTATATAGTAGATAACCCGATCGAGTTAAGAGGGCTTACTGTGAGTTTACATCAAACGATGTTTGCTTAGGTAAGTGAAGTAGCAAATCGAACGCACAGCGTTGTAAAGAGCTCTGTGATTGGTTCGTGTGTCACCCTGTGCGTACACGCGCACTGTGAGACCTCATAGTAATGTTTGTAAATACGGGCGTAAGCCCCCTGAGCATGATGGCGCCACAGTGGCGGCGCGGCGACGGCGCGGCGACGACGCGGCGACGACGCGGCGACGTTCGTACGGACGCGGACGGGGCGATCGCGGGGAGGTGAGCAGGCGAGTGGGAGGAAGAGTCGCATTCCAGCGAGGTGCGCACTCGCAGTTAGCTCGATCGGATTGTAGTTTACCTTTAAAATGTCCTTTAATTTTTTTTGTATGTTATTTGGAATAATGTTAAGTTCCATCTTATTTTATTTTCGCTATTTACACATTTCAATTTTCCAAACTTTTTTTTTATCCACAACGAGGAAGCTCTTGGCCTGTATCTCACCTGGTAAGTGATGATCAGGTCGAAGGTGGAAGCGAGCTTCACCCGGAATCCTCAACCACGTATTTATTTAGTATACATTGCCGACATAGCCCGACGGATTAGCAAGCTGAAGTGGCAGTGGGCAGGGCACATAGTACGCAGAACTGACGGTCGATGGGGCAGCAAGGTTCTGGAGTGGAGGCCGCGTACCGTAAAACGCAGTGTGGGACGTCTACCCACAAGGTAGACCGACGACCTGATAAAGGTAGCAGGAAGGCGCTGGATGCAGGCCGCTACCAACCGTGCGATGTGGAAATCATTGGGGGAGGCCTATGTTCAGCAGTGGACGTCCTGTGGCTGAAATGATGATGATGATGACTAATACATTTGAAAAAGTCCTCTTATTCCACTCCCGTTCATATGAACACACCTTTAACTTCAATAGACGGTCGTCACGTGCAGTTTGATATTGTTTTGATACTGGACTCGTGATTGGCATTAGAACTTGGTCATCCACGGTCGCCTGTTTAAGCCCACTCATGGACGTAAGCTTGCCCTAATAAGGAGCGCTTGCAAACCCGCCTAGAGAGCCACCTATAGCTATCGGCAGGTCTGTTAGACTAATCCTACTTCCTACTATATCTATACTAATGTTATAAATGCGAAAGTAACTCTGTCTGTCAGTCTGTCTGTCTGTCTGCCTCGCTTTCACGCCTAAACTACTGAACCGATTTTAATGAAATTTGGCATAGAGATAGTTTGAGTCCCGGGAAAGGACATAGGATAGTTTTTATCCCGGTTTTTGAAACAGGGACGCGCGCATTAAAGTTTTTCTGTGACAGACAAAATTCCACGCAAGCCGCGGCGGAAAGCTAGTGTGTAATATGATCGTCAAGAGTTCGGAAGTAAACCTATAAATTCACAAGTGTTTCTGCCTTTCAAGATCCCTATAGCATAGCGCCCACAAAAATATTCATCTCGATTTTTTTTATATACGGTTACTCCCAATTTCAAACGACAACTTAGTCCTTATTAAGTACAGTCAAATAAGTTAGTGACATCCAAAGTAGCCAAAAAGTTCACAACACGTCTTTCGCTCGGTCGTTCGTTTCAGCCAAATGACGTCCACAGCTGGACAAAGGCCTCCCCCAAGGATTTCCATAAAGACCGGTCCTGCGCTGCCCGCATCCAGGCTCTTCCCGCGACCTTCAACAGACCGTCGATCCACCTAGTGGGAGGCCTGCCCACGTCTTTATTACGTTGGAATAAGGTTATAATATGTCAACTTTTGTCGGCCGTTTCGTGTAGTGGTTCGAAACAGACTACTATTCCGGAGGTAGCGGGTTCGATTTTACGCACAGTACAAGCATTTGTGTGCATGAACATATTTATTTTGTTTGTATTGGACTGGGTGTTTTCTATGTATAATAAGTATGTATTTACAAAAAAAAAGTATTTAAGTATGTTTATATCCGTGGTCTAGTACCCATAGTACAAGCTTTGCTTAGTTTGGGACTAGAAACGCAGTGTAAAATGTCTAAGGATATTTATTATTTTGGCCACTTTTCACTTTGGAACTATTTGACGCTGAATGTACCCACTTGACAAGTCAATCAATTTTGTGTTGTAAACGCAGACTGCCAGCAAACATTCTATTTACTCGCGCTGATGAGTACCTATGTACTATCTGAATGTTAAATAACAAACATTTGAATGTATTTGAAGAGTAAATAATTTAAAGATTTTGGGATCTTAAATTATACTAGCTTTTGCCCGCAGCGTCGCGTGAATTTCGTTCAAAAAAAGTTTCTGTCAAAGAAAGTCTTCGAGTTTTGTTTTCGTAATTCGTTCGTTTCAGCCGAATGACGTCCACTGCTGGACAAAGGCCTCCTCCAAGGATTTGCACAACAACCGGTCCTCCGCCGCCCGCATCCAAGCACCTCCCGCGACCTTCACCAGATCGTCTGTCCACCTAGTGGGAGGCCTGCCCACACTACGTCTTCCGGCTTGTGGTCGCCACTCAAGAACTTTTCTGCCCCAGCGGCCATCAGCTCTGCGAGGTATGCCAATAAGGCTGGCAATCGACTAAATGAAGTGATAACATAGAAATCTCATCGTTTAGTGACATTATTTTCGTTCAATACGACCTATAGTGGCACATACAAGTCTTTATTTATTGAATAGGATAACCAACAATACATAAATAAACATGTTATACAGTCTTTGAAGTCATCAAATGAAATGTTTGCATGTAAATGTGTGAATGCCGAGGCCAGGCGATTATGCATTGCGTCAATGACTCGATGCATTGCATAACAATTAATTGCATTGATTCCTCTCATTGTAGGTATCGTAGAGTCATAACGAGCGTTTTTTGAGCGTGAGCAAGTTATTTGTTCATCTTTTTTCTTCTCGTTCTTAAGACTAACCTAATTGAGGTTTACTTCAATAATAGTTAATTTATCGTTCGTTCGTTTGTTTCAGCCAAGTGACGTCTACTGCTGGACAAAAGCCTCCCCCAAGGATTTCCATAACGACCGGTCCTGCGTCGCCCGCATCCAGGCTCTTCCCGCGACCTTTAGTTTATATACAGTGTGAGTCACGTTAAAGTGTA